AGATGTTTCTTGATTAAATGAATATTTAAGGTATCCTATAGCACAATTAGTTGGATTAAAAAATCATTAAAATATAATTGTATTCTCCTAGTAAAAAGGAAATGAATACTATGCTAATTCATAATAGAATCTCATTTCATTTTATAATTATTAAAATAATCAATAAGATTTGGTTATGAGCCAGATGGTGGTGGTGCATGTCTTTCCCAGCATTCAGGAGGCAGAGACAGGTGGGTCTCTGTGAGTTCAATGCCAACTTGTTCTACAGAGCAAGTTTCAGAACAGCTAGGGCTACATGGAGAAACCCTGTCTCAAAAAACAAACAAACAAAAAGATTATGTCTACAAGGCCTATAAATTCTGATTTATAGCAGGGCTGATCTCTTTTTCTATCACTGTTCTTAGTAATAACAAAAGTGCACAAGAAAAGACAATCTTGCTAGAATTTTTTAAAAGAACACTATATTCTCTAATTTCTTCTGTGACTTTTTTTCACTTACTTTCCCAAATTGAAACCTTGTACAATACTAAGTTTTAAAATAAAGTCTTACCAAGTCAGTCCACAAATAAGAATTTTGATAACTTAGATACTAAAGATTAATCTTTCTTAAGAATTTAAGTTTAAGCCAGGTGTGGCGGCACACACCTTTTCCCCAGCACCTGGAAGGCAGAGACATGTGGATCTAGGTGAGTTTGAGGCCAGTCTGGTCCACACAGTGAGTTCTAGGCCAGTCAGGGATACACAGTGAGACAGTGCCCTTCTCTTAAAAAAAAAAAAAAAAAAAAAGAGCCGGGCGGTGGTGGCGCACGCCTTTAATCCCAGCACTCGGGAGGCAGAGCCAGGCAGATCTCTGTGAGTTCGAGGCCAGCCTGGGCTACCAAGTGAGTTCCAGGAAAAGCGCAAAACTACAGAGAAACCCTGTCTCGAAAAACCAAAAAAAAAAAAAAAAAGAAAGAAAAGAAAAGAAAAAAGAATTAGAGGAAGCCACTTCAATGAAGTTATAACTAGATCAAACCGGTCAAAAGAAAAACTAAAATTAAAAGGTATTTTTAATACTCTAAATATAAATGGTTTGTAGAGTATAAATAATTGTAAATACAAGAGGAAACACATACTCAATCTAGAGTTTTTTCCAAACATAATATTTTTATTAATAATTTGGGAATTTCATACAACGCACCTGATCACACCTGATTCCCATTCCTGCCTGGTACATCTTACCACCCTTGAGCACCCGCCCCCCAAAAAAACCAAAATACCGAGTCCAATTTGTATTGCTCTTATAGTCACTGGAGCATGGTCAAAGTCCCAGGGTCCAAGCCCTTAAAGAAAACGGGGTCCTTCCCCACTGTCTGCCGGAAGTCACCAACTGTGAAGAGCCACCCCTCAGCATCTTTGTCACAGTTTTTAAAGGACTCTCTTCAGTAACTTCTTCTCTGGATTTTTGGGGCGGGTTTGGGGTTGTCACAGAAGTCTTCGAAGTCTCTCATTAATCTAGTTTTAAAATATGTAAATTTTGGTTGTTTAAAATGCCTATTTCCCTTATCTGCTACCTTCACTCCATTAAGCCAGGCAGTGTTCCTGATTATTTTAATTTTTGTTATGTTATTCTTATTATATTTCACACATTAGGCCAGATAAATAGTTTTTTTTTTTAAACCAGAACTGGGTCAAAATAACTAGTAGGTTCTAATGCTATAATCCAGTTCTTGCTTAGTGGCTTTCCCTGCTATTCCTCTGTCCCGAAGCCTGCCCTCCTGTCTACCACTCAGCTTCCTCTACATCAGATCCTAGGGGTGTGAGACATCAAAGCTATGTGGCCCCTAGACGTGCAAAATGTGATGGTTGGCAAAGAGAAGGACTTGTGAACGAGTTTCTGGAGAGAGCCGTATCCAAGGCCGACTAACTGGTTAGAATCTGTCGCGGAGAGGTTGGGATGCTGCGGCTTATCCTGAGCTATCTTCGTCCCCTGTAATAATCAGGGTTGTTGCTGCTGTGATGAAACACTGTGACCCAAAAAAGAGCTGGGGAGGAAATGGTTTATCTGGCTTGCACATCCTGAGTCGCAGTCCATTCAGGGAAGCCCAGGCAAGAACTCAAATGGCATGAGAAGCTGGACCAGGAGCTGATGCAGAGGCCATGGAGGAGTGCTGCTTACTGACTTGCTCCCCCTGGCTTGCTCAGCCTGCTTTATATAGAATCCAGGGCCTCCAGACCAGGGATGGCACCACCCACCATGGACCGGGCCCTCCCTCATCCATCACTAATTAAGAAAATGCCCTACAGGCTTCCCTACACCCTGATCTTATGGAGGCATTTCCTCAGTTGAGGTTCTCTCCTCTCAGATGACTCTAGCTTGTGTCAAGCTGACATAAAACTGGCCAGCACAGGCAGGCCAATTATCCACTTCTTGCCCACCTCTGTATCTGATCTAACATCCTTGTGACTAAGAGGTAAAACCTGCAGGGATGTGCTAAAACAGACCCCTGGCTTCCTCACTACAAAGGCTCAGAACGTCATCAGACATCATCTGAGGCTAGAGCAGAGATTGCCTCGCTTTTCTGGAACCTGCCTTCCTAGCACTCCCGCTGATGTATTTTTAAAGTGCCTTCATTTATGACTTTCTTTGTTACACTACTGTGAAAACTTGGTCAGACTGTTATCAGGTAGGAGCAGGGATTCAAGGTCATCTATATTGATGTCCTGGGCCACGATCACTCACATTTGGCTCCAAAATAAACTATTTCTTATCCCCTTGAGGTGAGAACTGTGTTTTTGTGCGAATGGAATAAATATAGATTAAAGTGCAGGGGGTGCCCATTATTGCGTCCTGTGTATTAGAACAATGATTAGACCTTGGGTGGGGTCTTTAATAAGAAATAAATTATTATTTTGCTTGTCTAGTAACTTAATTTTCATGTGTAATCTAGGTATGGTTGTAAAAAATAATGTATGAATGAAATGGGATCCATGTTTATGAAATTTTTATTAAGTTGTAGAAACTCATGAGTCATTCCTAAGTACATTAAAATGATCCGTTGCTGACTGTAATTCAAGTACTCTTGGCTTCTTTTTTTTTTTTTGGTTTTTTGAGACAGGGTTTCTCTTTGTAGCTTTGCGCCTTTCCTGGAACTCACTTGGTAGTCCAGGCTGGCCTCGAACTCACAGAGATCCGCCTGGCTCTGCCACCCGAGTGCTGGGATTAAAGGCGTGAGCCACCACCGCCCGGCACTCTTGGCTTCTTATATTCTAAGTACTGTATGTGTATGTGTGTCTACCAACAAATATATCCTATTCTACATAAAGAACATTTTTTTTCCTGAGAGAAAGCATGTGTTCCAATAAACAAAATATTTACATGAATTGCTCACACACGCACATATATTCAATTGTCACATATACATATATGTCATATATACATTCAACTGTTTCTTTCTATATGAAAGAAAGAAACAACTGAATGTTGCTTTCTTTCTGAATAATTCCTAGAACTTAAGGTTTCAGGGTTACGGACATGGCTCAGTGTTAGAGCACTTACCCAGCTCACTTGAGGTCCTGGGATCAATCTCCACAACTGACAAAAAGAAAAAGAATGAAGTCCACTAATAATGGAAAGCTCTAATTGAGGAGCCAGAGGGATGGCTCAGAGGCTAAGAAAAGCACTTCCTACTCTTCCAGAGCCAAGTTATTAAGAGTAATTTCATCTCAATTCAGAGGTTTGCTTTTGGTTTGGGTTTTGTTTGTTTGGTAGGGTATTTTTGTTTGTCTGTGGTTTTCTGTTTTGTTTTGTTTTGAGACAGGATCTTGTTTTGCAGCCCTGCATGTCCTGGCACTCACTATGTAGAACAGGCTGGCCGTGAACTCAGAGATCTGCTTGCCTCTGCCTCCCCAATGCTGGGATTAAAGGCGTGCGCCACCACGTCTGGCATTCTTGACTAGCTCTGTTCAGTTTGGGAAAGCCGTTCTTCAATTCACACTCTTCTTTTTGGATTGATCAGCTCATTCATTGTACCATCTCTAAACTCACTGACAATCACTTTTCCTAAAGTGCCCCTATGAAATTGCTGTCCAGAGGAGCATGGGCCCTCTTGCGCAGAGCTGGGGGTTCTGGCACAGAGGGAAAGCCTCCACTCAGGCTCAACAGACATGGCTCACACTGAGGCTCTGGGCTGAGTATGTATGTGACAGCGGCAACTTCTCCAGGACCCCAGACACCTTGCTTTTCCCAGGCTACCTGATGTTAAGACCCCCAAGTAACCAAGTTCCTCGTCCTGCCAGAACTGGGGGCTGGGGCCTTAGTATCTTCCCATGAATGGAAAAGAGAGGCACAAAAAAAAAAAAAATCCCAAAGACTATATACAACATGGTTTCCAAGGCAACTAAAGAGATCTGAGAATTTCTGAGCACTTTTGTCAAATCAGGCACTTTCTCCCTCAGGACCGTCCCCTGGGAAGCTATAAAGTGGACCCAGCCGTGTTCAGTCCAACCAGCAACTTTCCAATTTCTCAGTCTACACCGTACTTAATAAAGCCAAAGATGGGAGGCTGCCTATTCACCCCATCTCCCCTGGGCCCCACTTGGAACTGTGTACCCTATACAGGCATGGCTCCTCTGGGACCAGTGCTGAATCCATGAGGCTGGAAAACCCCTGGGAGCTGTTCTGAATCTCTTCATGGATGGCCAGGCCCACCTGCCTAAGTCCCTGTGCTCTCCAAGGCTGGTGGTCACCTGATGGGTTGTTTAGACTGACTCCTTGTGGACAGATAATTAAAGGGTCCTAGCATTCTCGCCTGTCCAGGACATGTCTCTACAACGGGTGGGTTCAGCTATGGTCCAGCTGTGCCTGTTGTCTCAAGTGTAGGGCCCTCCTCCCAGAGCTGGGGGTGCGTGGGTCTCTATACACAGGTTTCACTCTGTTTTTCACTTTGGAAAGGTAGGTTGGCAAAGTCTAGGGCTCACAGGGAAGCCTGGGGAGAAAGGGTCACTTAGCTGAACCTCTACTATTTCTGGAATGGGATGTTCTTGGGAGGCTCGTTGGGAAACTGTAACGAGTACAAGTGGGCCATATACTGGAGCTCTGGCATCGCCATCCTCTGACAGATGCGCAGTGTAGTGTTGTCCAGATCATGCCTAAGGCTGTAGCCCAGAATTTCAGCATTTCCAGACTGGTAGGGGCGCAGATTCCGGTCTTTTATCTGTGTCTTGTTCTTGGGCTCGGGGTCCTGAAGACACAGGTTGGTGAGCTCACGACGCCTGGCCCGCAGCTGCTCCAGCTCTTCCCTGAGCTGGTGCGGGCTCACCTCGGCGTGCAGATGGGCCCAAAATGTGCGGTTGAAGTGCTGGTAGAGCTGCCAGTCCAGCTCACACCAGTGCTTGGCCCGCTCCTGGCTCTCCTGCGTCAAGCGCGAGACGGAACGCTGGCTGCGTGCATTCAGCTTGAAGGATACCACGTCATCCAGCTGCCAGCGCAGCTGTCTGCGCAGCAGCACCATGGACTCATCAAAGTGGTCCGCAATGAGCACCAGGTGGAACCGGCGCTCCGCCTCTGCGAGGCACGTGCGAACATAGTCCACTTCAGCCCTCGCGTTGTTGTCGAAGCCAAAGTCAAACCACATGTTGTTTCTCGCATAGACATTGTTCAGGCCCTCACTGACATTGTAGTACCTCCACGGATCTGCCAGGAATTGGTCCAGGCTCTTGACTCTCTGGAAGGCAGGCGCATAGTCCTTGTAGTAGATGAAGGCAGACTCCAGTTGGGAAACTGGGTTCCGTAGGATGGAAAAGTAGAAAGTGTCATTGGGCATGACTTTCTGCACCTATTTGGAGAAGGAGCAGGTGGGACATTGAGAGTCCCCTGTTAGATGGACTATGCAGCTGCCCACAGAGGCCCCGCCTCCCACCTGTCCCAGCTCCTTCGTACACCACAGGAGCAAGCGCAAAGGGTCCAGGGCAACAAAAGCTCAGTATGGTCTTCCAGAACCAGAGACGCCGGGATGTGAGAGAGGGTTGGGATGCCTTCAAGAAGACAGAGTCTCATGCCAAGAGCAATTACAGGCCTTTGGTGTTAATAGTCAGGAAAAAAGTTAAACAAAGGAAATTAGATTCAAGGTTCTTGTCTGGAAAAAAAAAAAAGAGGATATAGATAAGAGGTAGATTATTGAATCTAGTCTGAAAAAAATACATAAATGATAGAATAAAGGGTATATTCTGAAAAGAAAAAACAGAGAATATGGATATGATAAGATAAAAAGGGTAGATTATTGAATCTACTTTTAGAAAGCAACTACTAGTTTTAAATATTTTACATTGAATTGGCTTTTTGTATATTGTATACAAATTTTGTATATTGATACAAATTTGAGATTGATTTTGTTAGAAAATACTGTACATATACTTCTAATCTTGTTCAAGGTATTGTACTTATACAGTTCATTTAACAATGTAGTGCAAATTGCTAGTCCTTGAAAGTTATTATTACCAACTAATTAGGATATAAAGAAATGAAAGTTAGTAGTCATTACAACCAAACTTGTAGTCATATTAGGTGTGTTTTCAAGGTCAAATAGAGATATATTTTAGATAGACAGGTTGTCTTCAAACACTTCAGAGATCAACAGAATATGGCATTTAAGATGTTTTAATAACATAGATTTTTTTCTTGTTTTTTCATGACTATGAGACATGTCTGCTCCTGGTAGCGCCAATCTACTTCAGAGAAGATGGTGGGCATTGAAGAAATTCCACATGAAGTTTACTTTCTTTGTGGCAAAAGTTAGCCACTGGGCAAGAAAGTGCCCTCACATGGACTGCTGACAGTATGCTGTCCAAAATAGACAAGCAGGACACAAAAGAAAGGACTCCCAGTCCTTGCCAAGACAGGGTAGGAAGGCTCTTTAGAAAATCCTGCTTCACAGATGAGTCTGTCAGATATACTAAGCCTCTGAGCCAAAGATGGGTGCCCCAACATTGCAGAGAAACCTCGGGTGACTGTCCAGGCAGCTGGCTGTTTCTGTCATAACTCACATTTTTTGGAAGTCACTTGTTTGCACTTCCTGTTTAACTAGGGAATATTATTCCTTCTCAGGTCTTTGAGGGAGTTGAAGATTAGATAGTTATAGTTTTCTTTGTTAACAATTTCAGAAAAGAAACTCACTAAAGAGGTGTAAAGTGTATAAGTTTGAAAGACATCAAAAGGTAGTTTTGGTAAAGCAAATAAGGATAGAAGGTAAATCAAATACAAGCCTTTGGATTCACAAAGATAGAATAGATAATGGAACATTTTCTCTGAATTTGTCAAATGCAAATGGACTAGACATTGCTGATGTATTTATTGCCTGTATATATTGTATATAGTTATAGTACTTATTGTATATAGTTTTTCTTATATTAGTTATAACTTTTTTATTTTAGACAAAAAAAGGGAAAATGTGATATTTTATTTGTGCACCCCAATAAAGCTTATCTGGGGATCAGAGGAAAAAGCCAGCCACTATATTAAACATAGAGGTTAGGCAGTGGTAGCACACACCTCTAATCCTAGCATTCAGGAGGCAGAGATTCATCCAGATCTCTGTAAGTTCAAGGCCACACTGAGTACAAAGCCAGGCTGGTGGCACACGCCTTTGAGCCCAGCACTAGTTAACCATAGAGGTCTGGAGGTTTATACAGACAGGAAGTGATAGAGGTTGGCGGAAAGAGGAAGTGATTAAGCTGGGCAGAGAGAGGAAGTAAGATGGCAGGGCACAGAAAGGTGTATAGGCCTGAGTATACAGGAAGTAGCTCTCTGTGGAGGCCGAGGAGTTGGTAAGGTGAGGTTGGTTGTGACTTGTTCTGTTCCTCTGATCTCTCAGTTCTCACCCTAATGTCTGGCTCCAGGTTTTTTATTAATAAGACCATTTAGCAATTCATCTTACACCCTGGTGACTTGAAGAGAGCGGCCTGGCAGGGTCTACAGGCAGGGCTCTCCAACACCACAACTTCAAACCACTCCTCCACTGACTCTACACCCCACCCCACCCTAACCACCCCACCCCACCCTAACCACCCCACCCCACCCCACACCACCCCACGGCACCCCTGTAAGCACCATATTTACAAACAACCACCCATTTCCCCACCTCCATCTTTCACACCTCAGGAAAGTTGAACCTCAGGTGGTTGCACATGATGTTGAAGTGATGATTCAGGTGGCCGTCCTGCTCCATGCCCTCCACATACCGAGTCACAAAAAGCCAGGGGTAACCCAGATGGAAGCTAGAGCCCTTGGGCAGCGCTACAGACAGGCTGTGAGATTCTGAAAAGCGGTAGAGGAGGTTGAGTATTGTAGTGCTGGCTGTCTTATGCGTCTTGAGGAACATGATGTTGGTGACTGGTGGTTCCTGGGCCTCATCCCTGAGCAGACTAGGAGAGACAGTGCAGGCCGCCATCAATAAAGGGGCCACACACCCCCAACAGCATCCCCCAAGTAGCACCCCTCAACCTGGGGTCCCTATACCATCTCCTCTCACTATCTGCCGGTGCTGTGTCCCCACACCAGCTCCACCACTCGGCAATCCTGCGATCCAGGGGGATTTTCTGTGACAGATAGGATTTTCCCCTTGCAGCAAGATGTCCACAGCTGCACTTTCTGTTCTCATGTAAGCCATAGACTCAAGCCCAGACCCCAAGCATTCCCCTAGCCCCCAAAACCTGCTCTCTGTCTCCCAGGTGTGGCAGTGGCCCAGTGACCTCAGACAAGGTCAGCCGGCCTAACAAATGCTGGGATGCACTCAGATGGCCTGGGTCACAGAGCATCTTTTCTTTCTTTCTTCCTTCCTTCCTTCCTTTCTTTCTTTCTTTCTTTCTTTCTTCCTTTCTTTCTTTTTAATGTGCATTGGTGTTTGATTTGCATGTACGTCTGTGTGGGGCAGTCAGATTCACGGGCACTTGAGTTACAAACAGTTGTGAGCTGCTATGTGGGTGCTGGGATTTGAACCCTGAGCCATCTCTCCAGGCTGCACCTTTTTGTGTTAATGTAGGCCAATAAGATTGACAAGGCAGGATCCAGTGGACCTCGGGACAGTGTGTTTTCTCAGAGGACAATTTACCCCTCCCCATCATACAAATCCAACCAGAGGATGCATGAAGGACAGGAAAATAAGACCCTCCCAGAACCCTGGGGAATCCTTGGCCTGGGAGGCAATTGGTTGTACAAGTGGACATAGATGTAAACTCTCGGGATGATGCAGTCCTAGCAGGCAGCAGAGAGTGTGCTCTGGGGCCTAGTGACAAAGGAATTGAATCCTGACTTCACCACCCGGAAGCCATGCTAGAAGCCAGGCCCATTTCTGTAGGCCAGAAGGTAGCCTTCCCAAGGCACCTCCTACAAACCCAGCCCTGCTCAGTCCTCTTCCCAGGCCAGGCTGGCCAGGCCAGGCCTGCTCCCCAGAGCTTCCTCAGAAGCCTTCCCAGTGGGCTCATCATTGCAGGAGACAGGCCCAGGACAAGCATAGCTCACCACTTTCTCCCAGAGAGGGCACTGACACTCAGTGGGGAAGTGAGTGCTGGTATTCTTAGGCAGGATGGGGTCTCAGCACTGCTCTTGGGGTCACAGGGGGACGAGAACTGCATCCCAGTGCATGTGGCACCTGCACAGGACTTACGGTGTGAGCAGTCTGAAGTCCACATGCAGGAAGCCAAGCATCAGGAACACAACCAGCACCAGCAACAAGAGTACCACCTGGAAGAACCTGTGGGCAGTACCAGCTTTAGTGCCACTTGGATACACAGCCCCACCCACGGCTCAGCCAGGAGCCCTGTAGCAACCTGCAAGCCCGGAGCAGGGCACACAGGCCTGCTCATCTCAGAACCTGGAGCACCTACAGCTGGGGCCTTACAGGCCCTCCCCAGCCCCTGAGGGAGAGGGCTGCAGGGGGAGGTTGTAGGGTAGATGCATGGACTGAGCCCCATGCTAAGGCCCCAGTCCCTGATAGGAAAGCAGTTTGAGATAGGCATTGGAAAGTGATAGTTAAGAACACTATTACGAACACGAATGGGAAGATTGGAATTAGTGTCCTGATAAGACAGGTACAGAGTTTGCTTCCTCTCTCCTCACCGAACCCTATCCTGTGAGGACAAAGAGAGTTGCTGTCTTCAAGCCCAGGAGAGATCCTTCCCCAGGAACACACACACACACACACACACACACACACACACACACACACACACAGTTGCTGTCTTCAAGCCCGGGAGAGATCCTTCCCCAGGAACACACACACACACACACACACACACACACACACACACACACACACACACACAAACACACACAGAGTTGCTGTCTTCAAGCCTGGGAGAGATCCTTCCCCAGGAACACATACACACACACACACACACACACACACACACACACACACACACAGACACACTTCCTCTCACAGTCTCTAGCTTCCAAAGCACCGAAAGGACTGCTCTTGCTTAGGCCTCCCCGTATGGGAGGGGCTACATCAGGCAGCTGACTGGCAAGTGGATATCTTGGGACAGGGAGGGAGCGTGCTGGCAATCCACCTGCTGAAGCGGAAGCAGAAGCATTTCAGAGGATTTGCTGTGGCTTTGCTGCGGCTCTGCTTCAAGCCAAGCCACAGTGAAATGCTAGTGCCAGAGCTGCCCAGAGGGCAGACCTCTGCTGGGTCCTATTCATAGGCCGTGTCTACCCAAGACACAGAGCCACCACATGAGGCACAGCCACTCTGGCCCAGGACACCCCTGCAGTAGAGTATTAGAAAACCATCCAGATCTTCCAGGCCTTCTGCATACATAAAGCTGGGGCTCCATATATAGCAGAAACCCTCTTGAGGCTACACCTACACGTCTAACTCAGAGACTACAGCCATTAACTGAGTGTCTTCCAGTCATATTTGTCTCCTGTCTTCCACACCCACAGTGTGGCTCCCAAAGACACAAGCTATGACAGATGTGTGCATCCCATAATGACATTATCTACTGTACCTGTACCAAACAGCACAAAAACCCCCTTAGGACCCCAGTGTGGCGCCACTACCCACCGCCACCTCACTGTGCCATTCCAAGTTCTACCCTAGCCAGGATGGGACGGACATGTCACCTCTGTGTGTCAGCCATGTCCCAGTGTCACCCAACACTCCCAGGAAGTCTGTACAGACAAAGAGCCCGGGCGCTCCCCTGAGGAGGTGCCTCGGTGCCTCGACGGGATGCAGGAACTGAACAGACATCACAGCTGCAGGGGACCAACATGGTCAGATAGCCTCAGCTCCAGGGTCCTCTCTCTCCCGGAGGAGCAGTGTGGACACAGAAGCGGCCGAAGAGCAGGAAGCAGCAGTGAGGTTGTGGAGTCTCCACCGAAGACTCCTCACGGAGTTAGAGGGAATGAGTCCGCCCAAGACCAACCTAGGCACCGCCTCAAGTCAACAGCTTCCTGTGTCATTGTGCTTAGCACTCCCTGGGAAGGTGGCTGCATGGGGTCTGACAGTTTAACGTGGTTAGAGTGTGACCTCCACCTGAGAAGGACAGTGAGGAGCACAGCCAGAGGACGGCTCACCTTCTACTCTTCCCGGCCACTGCTGTGTTCTTCCACGCAGAAATCCTTCCTCAAACATGTGGCCTTTTACTGGTCTCCTCTCAGATTCATAAAATTGCAGCACCCACTAACCATCTGTCTTACGGTTTGCCAGGAATGAGCCTTTACGGGGACAGCACAAGGTCCGGGGCTCCCAAATCACAAGCTGAAGAGGGCACCAAGTCCACCACCTGTCCCTGCTTCAGCACAGCCCACAACCTTCCACACACCCTCCACGCCTGAGCTGGGGGCTAGGAGGCCATAGTCCAAGACCCAGAACCTAGCCCAGTTCTTCTGCATGAGGACAAACAGGAACCTAGATTTTTAAAATAAATCTTGATTCTTATGTGCAAAAAGTGAAAGGAATTCTTTCCTTCTTTCTCAGATAATTGACAAGCTTTCAACTGTGAGCAGAGCGGTGGTGGCCCACAGCTTTACTCCCAACACTCAGGAGGCAGAGGCAGGAAGATCTCTGAGTTCAAGGCCAGCCTGGTCTACAAAGCAAATTCCCGGACAGCCAGGACTGTTACACAGAGAAACCTTGTCTTGAAATCCAACCCCAAAAGAACATGGATATGTGGGGGCACATTTCCCATAACTCCCAAGCATTCCACCCCAAGACAGTCCCAGGCCTTTGTCTGTTCTACCCTTAGATGGAGAACATAACCTAAGGTCTTTGCCTAGAACCTGGTCCCTCAGGTGTCCTCTCAAGCCCTCCAAGTCCACTTCTTCCACACCTTGAGTGTCTCAACCAGCTCTTAGAATCAAGAGGTTTCCACCAAGATGAGAACATGGCAATGGGGACCACGAAACCCACCCCTCCTCTGGCCCGCTGGAAATGGTCACAGATGCCAGTACAAAGGGATCTTGTCATCCAGTTGCCTCAACTATCAAAGAATGTACAGAGCCCATCTGAACATCAGAGATGTCACCTTATCTGCTGCTTAATCACCCAAGTCAAGCTTGGGTGATCTTAATAAGTAGGTTAGATGGGACAGAGGAGGGAGGCAGGTGAGGCACTTGCTTCCTGGAGAAGACAGTCCCCAGAATGTTCCAGTTCCCTTCTCCAGGGGAATGTTCCAGTTCTCTTTCCCAGTGTGGCTGTCAGACTCTGGTGAGCTACCAGGACAAACAACACTTTACGGGGAATGACTCCAGGCCTAATTGTTAGGTCTTTTTACCCAAGCACCTGGTCCTGCCACCCCACCCCACCTTGCCTTTACTGGAGAAGCTGTGAAAGACTGAGGCCATATCCTCCCATAGATCCCAACATAATTTAGAGAGAAACAGTAGTCACAGCATCTGCCTGCACAGCCCAGTGGACTAGCCCCTGCTGGTGGCCAAATACTATGCAACAAACTCCCAGAAGCAGCAAAGGATTCGTGATCCTGGGAGTATGAGAAAACTTGCACAGTTCTTCCAGTCTGGCCCACCTAGATGCTCCGGTGGGAAACCCCGTACAGTCTGAGATACCTAGGCAGACAGGCAAGAAGCAAAGCCACTTGTAAGAATGTGTGCACCTGGCGGGGTGGTGGTGGCACACACTTTTAATCCCAGCACTCAGGAGGCAGAGGCAGGCGGATCTCTGTGAGTTCGAGGCCAGCCTGGTCTAGAGAGCGAGATCCAGGACAGGCTACAAAGCTACACAGAGAAATCCTGTCTCAAAAAAACAAATGTGTGCACCACACACCTTCCCAGATGCCCAGACCTATGCTTTTCCCAACTGTGACAGCTCTACTCTACCTTCAGTCTATCAAAGACAAACTGTCAGCCCCAGGGGACCCTGCCATACTAGTCAATGGATAACCTGACCTATACCCACCAGTATAGGAGGTAGACAACCTAGGACAACCTGGAGACCCAGAGCATGTGTCACACTGGACAGTGACCCAGAAGGATGGGCATCCCTGGACGAGTGAGTTTCATGTGCCACACACGAACATCTTCTAAAAGGTAGGCAGGTAGATCCGTGGACAGTAGTTAACAGTCTCTGAAATCCTCTTTCTGTAATTCTTGCAATGGGTGGTTGCTCCACAAATGACATGGGAACTCCAAGGATTGTCTTTCCTATCACAGTGGGTCCCATACCACCCTCTCCTCCATGTCTCCCCTGCCTCCCAGACCTGGCTGTGCCCTGGAGGAGGGGTCATTTAGCTCCCAGCCAGCCAGCTTCTACGGACACAGGTCTACAATACGTCAGGTGACCTCCACAAACAAAACCATAGAACATCTACTTGGGAACTAGCCATTGAGCTCCAGGGGCTGTGTGAATCACAAGCCAAGCTTTTCTATGATTCCTGGAAAGGACACGCTCCAAACTGTTGAGCTGCCTGCAGGCTGTGCAGTGTGCTCCAGGTTCCCAGCATTGTGAGCTGTCACCCATGCTGGGGTGGGCTTTGGTGATAGAGTTGTCTTTGGGTCATTTCTGCTCCTGTAAGTAAACTCTCACCCATATTCCTGTAATAAATTCCTGTAACCCCTATAAAACCCATTGGTTCACCAAGTTGAACTTTGGTGGTGTCCATACTTTGGTCTGGCGTAGGCTCCATATCTAGAATGAGTAAACATGTATATTGTGTCTCCCCAGGAGAAGTTAGTCACCCAACGGGCATCTGCCACCACACTCAGTCTCACTTCTCATCCCGCCCTCACGTGGCCACACGTGGCAAATTGTAGCCAACCTCCCTTACTTTACCCACTCCTCTGCAAAGACAGCCCCCAGACTGGGATCCAATAGCCGGTCTTGAATGGTGACAGCTGACCACAAGGACACACAGACTCCATGGTCACATCAACCCCCCATGGAGATACATACCATTCACAAGGTCACACAGGCCACCCTGGGCAGCTCTGTCCCTGAAGGGACTTCCCCTGGACTCAACACTCTAGAAGCACAGGTTTTCAAGGCCTTCCACCATCAGACTAGGGTCCCAGGAGGCAACAGGTACCTGGAATGCCCCTAAGCTAAACGTTACCCTGATATTGCAGAGGTTTGTGCCGCACCCCACAGTAACTAGGAAACCTCTTCTTTACAATATGCCTGCAATATCCATGTAAAGGAGGGTTACAAGATTCAGAACAGAGGCCAACCTTCTCCCGATGACTGTGAACTAGGGTAACACTGTCAGAGGCTCGCAGTCCAGACATTCTTACAAAACAGGGACCCAGCCATGGGGCAGGACAGAAGTCACTGAACCAAGCCAGTAAGTCCCTGACCCCAGTGCCTCCCCACCAAAATCTTCAGCTCAAATAACCCAGGTAAGTTCAATACCTCTGTGCTTGGGATACAGCTTTCTCATGCATGGGCTTCCCAAACTACAAAATGCTCTCCTGCGCCAAGGGAAACAGGGCCTGGGTATAATTCTATGGCTGAGTGCTTGCTTTAACCACAAGTTGACAGGAAATTAAAAGGTTGAAACAAAATCTAAAAAGATTGATTTCAAGGAAATCTCAGCACTGATTTCCCCAAACCCAAGCCAAGTTCCTTTTAAAGACAAAAAAGCCATCAATATATTTTGTCAGCTTCTTGAACTACTCTAGAAGGAAAGCAAGTTACCCCCCAATGCCGACCACCCACAGCGATACCATCTTACCTTTGTGTGCCTCCCAGGACGGGCAGCATCCTGGCTCAGCGCCTCCAACAGAGACGGGCAGGGAAGCAGCGGTCAAGAGTTCCGACTGCCTTGTGTATGAGACAGGCCGCTCTCAGCATGCCAGGAAGGGCACGGCTTCAGTGAAAACTGAACTTAAATCCCTAGCAAGCTCACCTACTGGCTCAGGTGTAAAGCCCCATGCCCCACCCTCTACCCCCCAACCCCACCCCAGTGACCTGGCTTAACTGCTATATCCTAACGAGGAACCAGACTTCCCCTAAGCTCACTAGGCCTCCTCCTCCTCCTGTATCACTAGGTGGGGCCCTGACAGCTGGGATGTCTGACCCAGGAGGATTTTCTTGTTCAGGCTCACATTTTCTCCTTCCTCCCCACCTTCCATGTTAGTCCTCCCAGAGTGGTCTTAGAGGGAGCTGACCCAGTGACGATGGACCTATGAGGGTGTCTAGACACATGTTCCCTATTTTTTGTGAGTAGTAGATATTTGGGAATGGGCCAATAGTTCTGCAGATGGGTGATCAAATGCCAGAAATATTTTCTTCTTCAAAGCTCTCTTTAAACTGAGGGGAGAAAAAAATTTTTTTAAATCTTGGGGTAAAAAGGAACCTTTGAAAGAGGACAGTGATGTATGAAATAAATACATTTATTTATAGATTTTGTTGCATGAAAATTTCTTTTCTAAGAAAATATAGTTTTTTTAAAAAAAAAAGAGCTTTTGATCCCAGCACTCAAGAGGCAGAGGCAGTTCCTGTATGGTGGCCTTTAATCCCAGCATTTAGGAGACAGAGACAGGCCGATCTATGTGAGTTCAAGGCCAGCCTAGTCCTCATATAAAGTTTGAGATCAGCCAAGACTACATAGAGAGAAAAAAAAAAACAGAAAGGGGTGGAACACAGAGGCAGGTAGATCTCTGTCAGTTCCAGGTCAGTCAGGGTTACACACATAGTAAGACCATATCTCAGAATTACTTACTAACTTAATTAATTAGAATTCTGAGAAATGCTTAACATATTTAACACTTAAAAGGTAAGTCCAAGCCAGGTAGTGGTGACACATGCCTTTGACATGCCTTTGATCTCAGCACTCAGAAGTCAGAGGCAGGCAGATTTCTGTGAGTTCAAGGCCAGCCTGGTCTACAGAGTGAGTTCCAGGCCAAGGGATACACAGAAAAACCCTGTCTCAGAAAAAAAAAAAATGAAAAAAAAGAGGTAAGTCCGTCAAGACAACATCCTATATAAACTGATAGGATGGTGAGAGATGTCCCACAGAGACACAGCAATCCATGGTAGTGGCTCTGACTGTGTCCTTCACAGCTAGCTCTGGTTCTTAACCTTGAGAAAGCCTTGAACACTGCCCTCCTTGTGTGCCTTTAGACATCAGAACACTGGACACCTTGCCTCCTTGCTTTGGCCAGTGACATGCAGGGATTACTGAATGCCAGGGTAGGATGGGTGCTCAGAGGACAATATCTTGGGACCTCTTACCACCCAGAGGGCAAGAAAGACATAAGCTCCAGAGATGCTGTCTTAGTTACTGTTCCATTGCTGTGAATAGACAACATAATGAAGGCAACTTCTAAAAGAAAGCTGTTTGGGCTGGAGAGATGGCTCAGAGGTTAAGAGCACTGACTGCTCTTCCAGAGGTCCTGAGTTCAATTCCCAGCACCCATATGGTGGCTCACAACCATCTGTAATGAGAAGGCACCCTCTTCTGTATACATAATAAATAAATAAATCTTTTTTTAAAAAAAGGAAGCAGTTAATTGGGGGCTTGCTTATACTTTCAGAGGGTTGGTCCATGTTCATCATGGTGGGGAGCATGGCCATAGGCAACTAGACACTGTGCTGGGGCAGTGAGATTACATCTGATTCACAAGATGGAGGCAGAGAAAGGAGAGTGAAGGAGGGAAGGAAGGTAAGGAGGGAGGGAGGAAGAGAGGGAGGGAGGGAGAAAGGAAGAGACTGGGCTTGGTATTGGCTTTTGAACTTCAAAGTCTACCCTGAGTGGCACACCTCCTCCCACAAGGCCACAACTTCTCATCTTTACCAAACAGTTCTATCAACTGAGGACCAAACATTCAAATATATGAGCTCATGAGTACATTCTCATTCCAACTGCCTCATATGCTTGAGTAGATTCATAGCGATCAGAGACTCTAATGGAGGCAGTTGTTAGCCCTTTCCACTGAGGGTCTTGTCCTCAGCATAGCAGCTCCTGTTCAGCTCACCAGTGTGTGGCAGGGTCCTGTGCTATTGTTCCCTTTTGGGGGAGGGGGCCAAGTAGGTGCAGAGTCAATGACACATACTCCGGGAGAATGTTGAAACAACAAGCTCAGTTTATTCAGGAAGAAGCAAGTCTTAAATACCCTCCACCCACCCTGGGGAAAGGGCTGATGAATATGCATCTGCTGGTGTGACATGGCTGCCTCTCACTGTTCCAGGTCACCTCCAGATCATATCTCAGCTGCTGTTGCTAAGGCCCTTAGGTAGACCCAGGTTGGCTCTCAGAAAGTATCTTTTACACTGGTTCATCATACATGAGTCATCCCATACCAGTATATCCAATTGCTAATAAGAGCTAGAGGACCCCAAAATTGTGTTGTCTCAAGAAACAGTGGCCAGGGGCATCTTGGCTAAGAAGCTGAAATATAGGTGTGGTGGAGGCTCATATATCTGAATGTTTCATCATTAGGGAGTAGTGCAACTTGACAGAGATTAGGAGGTGTGACCTTGTTGGAGGAAGTATGTCATGGGGGTGGGCTTTGGAGTTTCAAATGCTCAAGCCAGGTCCAGTGTCATTCTCTCTTCCTGCTGCCTGCTGATCTGATGTAGAACTCTCAGCTACCTCTTCAGCATCATGTCTGCCTGCATGCTGCCCTGCTTCCCACTATAACAGTAATGGACTAAACCTCTGAAATTATAAGCCAGCCCCAATTAATACTTTTCTTTAAAAGAGTTGCTGTGGTCATGGTGTCTCTTCACAGCAACAGAACACTGGTGAAGACAATAGGTAAGGAAGAGATGTCACCACCAATGAGGGCAACAAGTGAGCTGGCTAAGATGGATCCCAAGACCATGCAGAACATCACCTTGGTGGTGGAGACATACTTGCAGCAGAAGCAAGATGAATTTCAGACCATTCCCAACTAGAATGGATATTAAATAAGTAGTCATATTGACAATCTGGAGAAAAACATCACTGGCTTCATGACACAGGCTGGGGTAGAATTTGAAGGCAGAAACAAGATACTTGCCACACAGAAGTGAAGCTGCAGTTGGCTTACACTGAAACCCAGAACATCATTTTTCCAAGCCAAGAGAAAACCAAATGGCTTCATTCATTTAACTACTTGGTGAACATAGTAGTTATGTACTTATTGTAGCTAACTATAGCAGTTATTTATTGGATTTTTTTCAGAGACAGGGTTTCTCTATATAGCCCTAGCTGTCCTAGAACTCTCTCCCTCTGTAGACCAGGCTGGCCTCGAACTCAGAGATCTGTCTGTCTCTGCCTCCCAAGTGCTGGGGTGAACGGCCTGTGCTACCACCACCCCAGCAACAGTAGCATCCAAACAGGGACTTGAAAGTACATATGTTTTGGCAAAGAATGCATTATTATCAGTTTATACAGTTAGTTAATAATGTTAGTGTATCCCTGTCTCCTCCCAGTTTTATCTCCTAATTATTAAGTACTAAAACTTAGGTGGTTCCTGAAAAAAAAAAAAAAAAACAGGTGGAGCCATCACCACAGTCCTTTAACAACCTTCTCCGAAGGAACATTACCAAACTCCTTTTATGAGGCTACAGTTACCCTGATGCCCAAACCACACAAAGATGCAACAAAGAGAATTACAGACCAATATCCCTCATGAACATTGATGCAAAAATATTCAACTAAATATTAGCAAACCAAATCCAAGAACACATCAAAAAAATTATCTACCATGACCAAGTAGGCTTTATCCCAGGGATGCAAGGATGGTTCAACATACGAAAATCTGTCAATGTAATACACCATATAAACAAACTGAAAGAAAAAAAAACACATGATCATCTCATTAGATGCTGAAAAAGCCTTTGACAAAATCCAACACCCATTCATGATAAAGGTCTTGGATTGATCAGGAATACAAGGAACATACATAAACATAATAAAGGCTATTTACAGCAAGCCAACAGCCACAATCAAATTAAATGGAGAGAAACTCAAAGTGATTCCACTAAAATCAGGAACAAGACAAGGCTGTCCACTCTCCCCATATTTATTCAATATAGTACTTGAAGTTCTAGCTAGAGCAATAAGACAACAAAAGGAGATCAAAGGGATACAAATTGGAAAGGAAGAAGTCAAACTTTCATTATTTGCAGAAGACATGATAGTATACATAAGTGATCCCAAAAATTCTACCAGGGAACTCCTACAGCTGATAAACTCCTTCAGTAAAGTGGCAGGATACAAGATCAACTCAAAAAAATCAGTATCCCTCCTATATACAAATGATAAAAGGGCTGAGAAAGAAATCAGAGAAACATCACTCTTTACAATAGCCACAAATAATATAAAATACCTTGGGGTAACACTAACTAAACAAGTGAAGGACCTATATGATAAGAACTTTAAATTTCTGAAGAAAGAAATTAAAGAAGATATCAGAAAATGGATAGACCTCCCATGCTCATGGATAGGTAGGATTAATATAGTAAAAATGGCAATCTTACCAAAAGCAATCTACAGATTTAATACAATCTCCATCAAAATCCCAACACAATTCTTCACAGACTTGGAAAGAACAGTACTCAACTTCATATGGAAAACAAAAAATCCAGGATAGCTAAAAGAATCCTGTATAGTATAGCAGCCTCTGGAGGCATCACCATCCCTGACCTCAAGCTCTACCATAGAGCTATAGTAATAAGAAAAGAAAAGAAAAGAAAAGCTTGGTATTGGCATAAAAACTGACATATGTACCAATGGAATCGAACTGAAGACCCTGACATTAATCCACACACAT